TTGGTGTTCCTCGGTCTTAACAAGTTTAAGAAACATTGGTTTAGCGGCAAAAGTGCCGTCAACATGGGAAAGTCGGCAAAAGGAAAAACCGGTCAAACCAGTTTTTCTGTCCCCCACTGTGGGCGTTTCCTGGCCACATGGCTAGCACCGTTCAACAGACAGAGCAAAGCATTGTGGGGCAGCATCCCATAGTGCAGTGCCGTGGGAAGGCAGAGCTGATCCCTGTGCTGCTTGGGATTCCCTCGTGGATCTGGGAGCTCTCCGTGCTGAGGAATGTCCAAGCAGCACGGCCACCTCCCAGCCCTCCCCCTGCAGCAGCAGTCGGCCTGCCGCTGGGTTCCTAGCAGGACGGAACAGAAGCATCCCAATGATTTGCTCTTTGTTCATTCCCCAAATGGAGCTGCTCACTCAGCTGTCAGACACTTCCCGGAGCTGTGAAAGGGGGAGGGGCACCTGCCTGCAAGGCAGCAGAGATCACACAACACTGAGCAGAGCCATCAGGACAGGCCTTGTGTGACACAAGTGGAAGCGAGATCTCTCGACAATCAAACAGCAGAGTCCACACCGGCTTTTTGTCAACAACAAAGGGAGGAGAAAAGACAAACGCCCAGGGCTGGAAGTTTTTTCTTTCCAAAAACTGGGTGTTTTTCCCAACAAAAGTCGCACTGCAGTGTAAACGCGCTCCCTGCTTTGTTGCCCAAAGGCAGTTTTTGGCATCCAAAAGAGCCTGCCTAGACAAGGCCTGAGTGACACGAAGACGCAGCCGGCAGTTTCCGATTCAGGGCAGCTGATTCCTCACCTGTGTTGGCATGGCTCCGGCTCTCCCATTCCTGGAGCTTCCCCGCTCGTTCCAGCCAGGAGGTCTCACCGGGTTTGGAAACGGGAAACCCTGCAGTGGGAGGTAAGGAAAGAAGAGGTGATGTGCTGCAGTCAGGCCAGTGCCGTTACTGCTTTGAGACCTAGCACACACTAGGTACGTTAGAGGATAGTCGTTTAAACAATTAGCCGATAAGCCTGGGCTTATCAATTAATCCAAACAACTACACACACTGCCCCACCTTGCGGCCTCGTTAGGAGCCTGTGGCAACACCCACACGAAGGGGCCATTCCCCTCCCACCGTGGTCAGACACACGGGACCTTGGAAATGGAGGGGTGCAGGAACCTCGAGAGCCCACCCCGCCCAGCGCCATGTGAACCCAGAACCACCCTGCCCAGTGTGTGTCTGACCCAGGCGTTCTCACCGGTCATGGACCCCCTCTGACCACAAACATGACCCCATCTCCTAGGAAGGGGGGACCACGCCCGAGCCCGGCCGAGGGGTCGAAACTGAAGCCAAGGGCTTTTGTCCTGAGCGGGGGGCAGGTAACCTGAGCCCTGGGCAGTGGACTTGGGCTTCCGGTGTGGGGCCAGGGCTCCATTAAAATGGGATGGCGACCCACTCTGGCCCGCAGTCTGAGCCCCCCTAGTCTAATCTGTTCTTCAAAGTCTTCCCCAACAGACACTTCCCTGCCTCCCTAGGAAGCTGTCCCAGTGCTTAATTCTCTTTAAAAAGCACTTCTTCCTCTGCAGCCCAGTGCACCCCAGGCCAGGAGCAGAGCCGGGCTGGCGGGGTGGCGGGGGAGGCCAGAAATGACCTCCCCTGGCCTGTGGGATGGGGTGTGGAGGGGACAGGCTCTCACACAGGAGATGGGGACAACCAGGACCAATCCCCCCTCAAGCCTGAAGGACCCATGAAGAACCCTGCACAGATGACAACCCAGGTATTCCTGAGAACTCTTCCCCCCAGCTCCTGATACCCGCGGGGACAGGAATCCTCACCCAGCCAGCTCACAGCCTCGTAATTCTCCTGCATCACGTCCCTGTAGAGGGCTCTCTGGCCCGGGTCCAGCAGAGCCCATTCCTCCTCAGAGAAATACACAGCCACCTCCTCGAAGGTCACTGGCCCCGCCACGGCCATTTCCTGTCCCTGGCTCAGGCGGACCTGCAGCAAAAGGTGGCTGTTATCCAGCGGCCAGGCCCCCAGACTTTCTCTGGCAACATCAAGGGGACCACTCAGCAGCCTGGTGCCCTCGGACCTGAAGGGACCCTGCCTCCTCTAGCCCGACTTGCTGTCGGTCCGAGCCTATTTACTGTGATCCGGTGAACATCCACCCCAAAGACCGAGCAAACGTGTCCGGGCCAAATCTCGGGAGTTACCAAGGGCGGCTCTAAGACAAGACTAGGAATGTCGAGAGTTAACCGGTAAGTATTCACCGTACCGGCATGCTCACCGGGGTAACCGACGGCCCGGCTGGACCAGCCTCCCACCTGCGGCACAATGCGGATGGGCAGGGCTCCAGTCTGGCCGGGTCCACTGTGCCACGATGCATCGCGGGCGGAGGGCTGGTTCTCCAGTTAAACACCATTTAACCAGTCAACTTTGTAAATGGGAATCACAGAACCCCAGGGCGGGCGGAGACCTAGAAGGTATCAAGTCCAGCCCCCTGCCTAAAGCAGGATCAACCCCAACTCCATCATCCCAGCCAGGGATTTGTCAAGCCGGGACTGAAACACCTCTAGGGATGGAGATACCTCCCCCTTCCCTAGGGAACCCCTCCCAGCGCTTCACCACCCGCCTAGGGAAATCGTTTTTCTTAATCTCCAACCTAGACCTCTCCCACCACAACTTGAGCCCCATTGCTCCTTGTTCTGCCACCTGCCGCCACTGAGAACAGCCTCTCTCCATCTCCTTTGGAAACCCTCTGCAGGGACTTGCAGGCTGCTCTCAAATCCCCCCTCACTCTTCTCTTCTGCAGACTAAACAGACCCAACTCCCTCAGCCTCTCCTCATAAGTCACATGCTCCAGCCCCCGAATCATTTTGGTCACCCTGCGCTGGACCCTCTCCAATGTGTCCACATCCTTTCTGTAGTGGGGGGCCCAGAACTGGACACAATACTCCAGATGCGGCCTCACCAAAGCCGAATAAAGGGGAATAATGACATCTCTGGATCTGCTGCCAATGCTCCTCCTAATGCACCTAATATGCCATTAGCCTTCTTGGCTACAAGGGCGCCCTGTTGACTCATCTCCAGCTTCTCATCCACTGTAACCCCCAGGTCCTTTTCTGCAGAACGGCTACTTAGCCAGTCAGTGCCCGGCCTGTAACACCGCTTGGGATTCTTGTACATCCCTAATCAGGAGACAGAGAACCCAGCACCGCTGTGGCAACGAGCGACAGGGGATTAAGCGCAGGAACGATTTCGAGGTTGTGCCTCATTTCGAGTCGGATGTTTCTGCCTCTGAAGGGGAAGAAATCATCTCCCAGCTGCCAGGGAAAAACTCCTGCGCCTGCTCCAGACGGACGCTCCCCAAGGACTTTGTCTGCCCGAGACGCTGGTGAGCATGTGCGGCCTCCGGCCACCCCGGCATCCAGCAAAAACCCAGCCGGACAGCGGCCCTGTCCGGCTGCTGGGCCGGGCACACACACGGAGCCCTTTGTCACTTGCTGCTGGGCTTGGTCCCGGAGGGATGCAGGCTGGGCACTCGAGAGCGTGATGTCAACGACGCATGGAGCTCGCCGTGTCCCTCAGACCCAGGCCAACGGGGGTGGGGATAGATGGATAGAGGATGGGGTATATGAGGATGGATAGATAGATGGATAGAGGGGGGTGGGGATAGATGGATAGAGGATGGGGTATATGAGGATGGATAGATAGATGGATAGAGGGGGGTGGGGATAGATGGATAGAGGATGGGGTATATGAGGATGGATAGATAGATGGATAGAGGGGGGTGGGGATAGATGGATAGAGGATGGGGTATATGAGGATGGATAGATAGATGGATAGAGGGGGGTGGGGATAGATGGATAGAGGATGGGGTATATGAGGATGGATAGATAGATGGATAGAGGGGGGTGGGGATAGATGGATAGAGGATGGGGTATATGAGGATGGATAGATAGATGGATAGAGGGGGGTGGGGATAGATGGATAGAGGATGGGGTATATGAGGATGGATAGATAGATGGATAGAGGGGGGTGGGGATAGATGGATAGAGGATGGGGTATATGAGGATGGATAGATAGATGGATAGAGGGGGGTGGGGATAGATGGATAGAGGATGGGGTATATGAGGATGGATAGATAGATGGATAGAGGGGGGTGGGGATAGATGGATAGAGGATGGGGTATATGAGGATGGATAGATAGATGGATAGAGGGGGGTGGGGATAGATGGATAGAGGATGGGGTATATGAGGATGGATAGATAGATGGATAGAGGGGGGTGGGGATAGATGGATAGAGGATGGGGTATATGAGGATGGATAGATAGATGGATAGAGGGGGGTGGGGATAGATGGATAGAGGATGGGGTATATGAGGATGGATAGATAGATGGATAGAGGGGGGTGGGGATAGATGGATAGAGGATGGGGTATATGAGGATGGATAGATAGATGGATAGAGGGGGGTGGGGATAGATGGATAGAGGATGGGGTATATGAGGATGGATAGATAGATGGATAGAGGGGGGTGGGGATAGATGGATAGAGGATGGGGTATATGAGGATGGATAGATAGATGGATAGAGGGGGGTGGGGATAGATGGATAGAGGATGGGGTATATGAGGATGGATAGATAGATGGATAGAGGGGGGTGGGGATAGATGGATAGAGGATGGGGTATATGAGGATGGATAGATAGATGGATAGAGGGGGGTGGGGATAGATGGATAGAGGATGGGGTATATGAGGATGGATAGATAGATGGATAGAGGGGGGTGGGGATAGATGGATAGAGGATGGGGTATATGAGGATGGATAGATAGATGGATAGAGGGGGGTGGGGATAGATGGATAGAGGATGGGGTATATGAGGATGGATAGATAGATGGATAGAGGGGGGTGGGGATAGATGGATAGAGGATGGGGTATATGAGGATGGATAGATAGATGGATAGAGGGGGGTGGGGATAGATGGATAGAGGATGGGGTATATGAGGATGGATAGATAGATGGATAGATTAGCTGGGGAGATGTGTGGGGATAGGTAAAGACGGTACCTGGGACAGGTAGATGGGGGTGTGTGTGGGGACAGGTAGATCGACAGGGTGGATGGAGCTAGCTAAGCAATTCAGACTGTAATCCAGGTCACCCATCAGCACAGCGCTAACCCCAAGAGACCTAGCGCTACAGACAACAGGCCTCATGAACAACGTGCCCTCTCACTTTTTCCATCCACATGCGGCCTTTTCCCATCCATGTTCAGAATCAATTTTTCTATGTGCCCTGAGCCATGTGCGCGCGCACCAACGCTAGAAACCCACAGCCGAGCGGGGCAGCCCTGGAATCTCTCCCTCCGCCCAAAGCGCCCGGCTTCCAGGGAACGCTGGCGTGGACGCTGTATGTACGTGAATACTGGAAAGGTGCAAAAGCCCCTTGGCCGTCAGGCGGTGCCGATAAGACACACCTGGGAGCTGCCTCAGAGGGGTGGCCATGTTCGTCTGGCGCTGGAAAACGAGCAGGCCAATGCACCTCCGACTAACATATGTACCAGGGCAGGAGCTCTGAGAAAGTGGGTTCTACCCACGGGCGCTCCGGACCTAATTGATCGGTTGCTCTCGAGGGGTCGTCTACACGGCAGAGGAAGATGGAAGCTGCCGCGGTCGATCTTCCAGGGTTCGAATGAGCAGGTCTAGTGAAGACGCACTAATTCGAAGTGAGGGGGCGCTCCGGGCGAGGCCAGCAGGCCTGTTCCCACGAGGAGCACAGGAAGTCGAAGGGGAGCTGCTCCGGTCGACTTCCTGCTGTGTGGACAGCACCACAAGCTGAGTTATGGTGCTTTGACTTCAGCTACATCAGTAACTAACGTAGCTGAAATTGCCCATCTGAATTCGACCATGTCCCGTTGTGCGGACGGACCCAAAGGTGCCAGGGAACCACTCGGCATCTGGGAACTGTTCCGACTGCCAAGGAATTATTTCAGGGGAAGGAGTAGGGGATGTTTGTGTGTGTGAGTGTCTTCCCTGGATTCAGTGTGTGTGTATGTGTGTGTGGGTGTGTCTTCTCTGGATAGAGTATGTGTGCACCTGCGTGCGTGTTTCCGTTTGTCTTCCCTGGATAGTGTGTGTGTGTGTGTGTGTGATCCCTGGCTTTGTATCTGTGTGTGACATCCCTGTATTTGTGTGTGTGTGTGTGTGTCTTCCCTGGATAGAGAGAGAGAGAGAGAGAGAGAGAGATTGTGTGTGTGTGTGTGTGTGTATGTGTGCCATCCCTAGATTTGTGTGTGTGTCTTCCCTGGATAGAGTGTCTGTGTTCCCTGAGTAGTGTGTGTGTGTCTTCCTTGGACAGGGTGTGTGTGTGTGTGAGTGTGTGTATGTGCATGTGCGTGTGTGTGTGTGCCATCCCTGGATTTGTGTCTGGGTCTGACATCCCCGGATTTGTGTGTGTGTCCTCCCTGGATAGAGTGTCTGTGTTCCCAGAGTTTTGTGTGTGTGTGTGTGTGTGTGTGTGTTCCTTCCCTGGACAGTGTGTGTGTGTGTGAGAGCGGGAGCGCGCGAGATCTCTGGATTTTTGTGTGTGTCTGCCTGTGGGTGCAGGGTGGAGCTCCGGGTAGGGCTGGGGATGGGGGGTTTGGGGTGCAGGGTGGAGCTCCGGGTAGGGCTGGGGATGGGGGGTTTGGGGTGCAGGGTGGAGCTCCGGGTAGGGCTGGGGATGGGGGGTTTGGGGTGCAGGGTGGAGCTCCGGGTAGGGCTGGGGATGGGGGGTTTGGGGTGCAGGGTGGAGCTCCGGGTAGGGCTGGGGATGGGGGGTTTGGGGTGCAGGGTGGAGCTCCGGGTAGGGCTGGGGATGGGGGGTTTGGGGTGCAGGGTGGAGCTCCGGGTAGGGCTGGGGATGGGGGGTTTGGGGTGCAGGGTGGAGCTCCGGGTAGGGCTGGGGATGGGGGGTTTGGGGTGCAGGGTGGAGCTCCGGGTAGGGCTGGGGATGGGGGGTTTGGGGTGCAGGGTGGAGCTCCGGGTAGGGCTGGGGATGGGGGGTTTGGGGTGCAGGGTGGAGCTCCGGGTAGGGCTGGGGATGGGGGGTTTGGGGTGCAGGGTGGAGCTCCGGGTAGGGCTGGGGATGGGGGGTTTGGGGTGCAGGGTGGAGCTCCGGGTAGGGCTGGGGATGGGGGGTTTGGGGTGCAGGGTGGAGCTCCGGGTAGGGCTGGGGATGGGGGGTTTGGGGTGCAGGGTGGAGCTCCGGGTAGGGCTGGGGATGGGGGGTTTGGGGTGCAGGGTGGAGCTCCGGGTAGGGCTGGGGATGGGGGGTTTGGGGTGCAGGGTGGAGCTCCGGGTAGGGCTGGGGATGGGGGGTTTGGGGTGCAGGGTGGAGCTCCGGGTAGGGCTGGGGATGGGGGGTTTGGGGTGCAGGGTGGAGCTCCGGGTAGGGCTGGGGATGGGGGGTTTGGGGTGCAGGGTGGAGCTCCGGGTAGGGCTGGGGATGGGGGGTTTGGGGTGCAGGGTGGAGCTCCGGGTAGGGCTGGGGATGGGGGGTTTGGGGTGCAGGGTGGAGCTCCGGGTAGGGCTGGGGATGGGGGGTTTGGGGTGCAGGGTGGAGCTCCGGGTAGGGCTGGGGATGGGGGGTTTGGGGTGCAGGGTGGAGCTCCGGGTAGGGCTGGGGATGGGGGGTTTGGGGTGCAGGGTGGAGCTCCGGGTAGGGCTGGGGATGGGGGGTTTGGGGTGCAGGGTGGAGCTCCGGGTAGGGCTGGGGATGGGGGGTTTGGGGTGCAGGGTGGAGCTCCGGGTAGGGCTGGGGATGGGGGATTGGGGTGCAGGGTGGAGCTCCGGGCTGGGACAGGGAATTGGGGTGCAGGGTGGAGCTCCGGGCTGGGACAGGGAATTGGGTTTGCTTGTGAGATGCAAGGACCCCAGGAAGCCAGCTGGCAAGGGGGGTGTAGGACCATCCGTTTTTTTTGGTGAGACAGAGAATGTACATAGGGGAGCGTCCTGTGAGGACTTACTTGAACGCCCAGTGGGGACGAGTGTAGGTGTGAACCCCAGGTACAGCTCCCGGGACGGGGTAAAGTCTGGGTCAAGGTAGAGCTGATGAACAGACGTCCAGTTGGATCGATGTTTAGTCGCCGGCTCTGCTGCTGAGCTGTAGACTCAGTGGTTCTGGGACCAGGTCTGTTCAGTATCTGCGTCAAGGATTTAGATATTGGCATGGACCAGGGCTACTCAACTTTGCAAGCCCCCGGGGGTCACAATGATACAGCACAGGCCACGGGCTGCAACTGAAGTGTGGTTGCATAGACATGCAAATGTCTATGCAAATAGCTTCTTTCACAGTGACAGGCATGAATACAAAGATGAAGGCAAGAGTACGCAACATGCAGGCACCATTTAAGTCAGTTCTGCTGATATGACTAGAATGCAACATTGACCCGACTGCCAGCGGTATGATGGCACTTGTAATGGGCAATGCCAGTCCAGGAATGTAACTAGTAAAATGCATCTCAACAGAAGACCATTCTATTGACGACTTTTTTGTTTTGACTCCCACGTAAACCCAAATTGCACCGTGGGTTGCAAACAACTGGGCCGTAGGCCGTGGGCAAACGAGCAGGCCTTGACATAGAAAGGACGCTTATTAAGTTTGCAGATGGGAGGGGTTGCGAGTGCTTTGGAGGACGGGTCATAATTCAAACTGATCTGGGCAAACTGGAGAAATGATCTGAGTTAAATAGGATGAAGTTTAACAAAAACAAATGCAAAGTGCCCACTTAGGAAGGAACAATCCGTGTCACACACACAGATCGGGAAGCGACTGTCTAGGAAGGAGTCCGGCAGAAAGGGATCTAGGGGTGATAGTGGACCACAAGCTAAATATGAGTCAACAGTGTGATGCTGTTGCAAAGAAAGCAAACGTGATTCTGGGCTGCATGAACAGGTGTGTTGTGAGCAAGACACGAGAAGTTGTTCTTCCGCTCTACTCATAAGAACATAAGAACGGCCGTACTGGGTCAGACCAAAGGTCCATCCAGCCCAGTATCCTGTCTGCCGACAGTGGCCAGCACCAGGTGCCCCAGAGGGGGTGGACCGAAGACAATGATCAAGCGATTTGTCTCCTGCCATCCCTCTCCAGCCTCTGACAAACAGAGGCCAAGGACACCAATTCTACCCCCTGGCTAATAGCCTTTTATGGACCTAACCTCCATGACATCTAGCTTCTCTTTAATCGCTGTTATAGTCCTAGTCTTCACAGCCTCCTCTGGCAAGGAGTTCCACAGGTTGACAACACGCTGTGTGAAGAAGAACTTTCTTTTATTAGTTGACAGAGGCCAAGGACACCATTTTATCCCCTGGCTAATAGCCTTTTATGGACCTAACCTCCATGAAATTATCTAGCTTCTCTTTAAACTCTATTATAGTCCTAGCCTTCACAGCCTCCTCTGGCAAGGAGTTCCACAGGTTGACAACACGCTGTGTGAAGAAGAACTTTCTTTTATTAGTTTTAAACCTGCTACCCATTAATTTCATTTGGTGACCTCTAGTTCTTCTATTATGGGAACTAATAAATAACTTTTCTTTATCCGCCCCCTCCACACCACTCATGATTTTATATTAGGCCTCAGCTGGAGTCTTGTGTCCGGTTCTGGTCCTCTGCTAACCAGCTGGGCAGCATTTAGATCTCTCCAGATTGGCCGCACAAGCGCACTGCTCCTAGGGAGCATGGCTGGACCCCACAGGGGAATGCTGCAAAGGGATCTGAGGGTTAGGGTGCTCCTCTAGTTAACCTGCAAGCCCATTGGAGTGGATAGCAGACTGGTCGTGTTGGGGAGCAGACGCCCAGCTAAGCAGAAGAAATAACTTCGTCCGTGTCTACACAGCCGGCAGTTACTTCGAAATAGCGTCGAAATACTGTCGAGCTGGAGGACTTATCCCAGCTCCTGTAACTCTCATTGTACGAGGAGGAAGGGAAGTCGGGGGAAGAGCGCTCTGTTGCGAAACCAGAGCTGTGTAGACGCGCCCTATTTCGAAATAAGCGACTTCAAAATAAGTTACGCAATTGACGTAGCTTCATTTGCATCACTTATTTCGAGTTAAGCCCTGCAGTATAGATGCGCCCTAAATCTCCTTCTCCCCCCAGCACACAGAGTGACTCCTGTCTGGACTGTCTCTTTGTCCCCGCAGGTGAGAGGATGGTGAGTGAGAACAAGGAGGGGAACCCGCAAGGTCCCGAGCTCGTGGAACCCGGCGAGATGGTACCAGGAAGGCCGGAAGAGGATGTTTCTCAGCACGCCGAGGAGGGGGAAGCCCTTGAAAGTCGGTGCAAGCCGGAGAGCCGGCGGAGTAACCACGCCAGGGCGAACCCCTGCAAATCCTCGCCCGGGAGCAGAGGGGTGAAGAACATCCAAGAAGCGGTTGGGCCGCGACTGCCCAACGACAGGCCCTACACATGCGGCGCCTGTGGGAAAAGCTTCCCCTGGAAATCGGCCTACCTCAGCCACCAGAGGACCCACGCGGAAGACAGACCCTACAAGTGTGCCGACTGCGGGAGGGGTTTTAGCCAGAGTTCCACGCTCGCTGGCCACCAGCGAACCCACACGGGGGAGAGGCCCTACAGCTGTGCCGCCTGCGGGAAAAGCTTCAGTCGGCGTGGGAACCTGCTCGTCCACCAGAGCACCCACACGGGCGAGAGGCCCCACCGCTGCCCGGAGTGCGGGAAACGCTTCGGCCAGAAGGCCTACCTCCGCGCCCACCAGCGGACCCACCTGGCGGAGAAACCCTACCGGTGCGCCCAGTGCGGGAAAGGCTTCGCTCACAGCGCCCAGCTCCTGCTGCACCAGAGAAGCCACACGGGGGAGAGGCCCTACCTGTGCAAGGACTGCGGGAAAAGCTTCAGCCAGAGCTCGCCCTTCCTGTCGCACCGGAGAACTCACGCGGCGGAGAGCCCGTACAAGTGCGGCGAGTGTGGGAAGAGCTTCAGCCGGCGCGGGAACCTGCTCGCCCATCAGAGGACCCACACGGGGGAGAGACCTTTCCAGTGCTCGGCATGCGGGGAATGTTTTGTTCAGCTGGTGAAGCTCACCCGACACCAGAGAACCCACACTGGAGAGACGCCCTACAAGTGCAAGGAGTGCGGGAAAACCTTCGGGGACAGATCGCACTTGAATAAACACCAGAGAGTCCACACCGGAGAGAAGCCCTTTGAGTGCGCCGAGTGTGGGAAACGCTTCGGTTCGAGCTCAGACCTGATTATACACCAGAGGATTCACACCGGGGAGAGACCCTATAAATGCCTGGAGTGCGGGAGGAGCTTTGGGCGCAGCTCGGATCTCACCCGACACGCGAGAAAACACACGGGCGAGAGGCCCTACAAATGCCCCAGCTGTGGGAAAAGCTTCCGGGACAGCTCCACCCTCACCAAACACCAGAGAATCCACAGAGGGGAGAGACCCTACCAGTGCCAGGAGTGTGGGAAAAGCTTCCGCCACCTGTCCAACCTCCTGCTACATCACAGAATCCACACGGGGGAGAGGCCCTACCGCTGCCCCGACTGCGGGAAAAGCTTCAGCCGGAGCTCGAACGTCATCGCTCACCAGAGAATCCACACGGGGGAGAGACCCTTTAAATGCCCCGAGTGTGGGAAAAACTTCAGGTCACGGTCAGCCCTGACAGCGCATGAGAAAATCCACAGCAGAGTGAAGCCCTTGCAAGCATCTTGATTGTGGGAAATGTTTCTGAAACTGCTTAGTGCTTATAATCTACAGAAAACTCCCTCCCAGGGAGAAACATGACGAATACAGGGTGTCCGGGAAAAGTTTTAGTTGACACTCAAACATTGGAGAAAACCCCTAGAACTGCCCTAGGTATGGGCTAAGCTTCAACTGGCGATAGAGCAGCAGAGATGCTACCGGCTCAGGTGAGGCTGGAGTGGCCGTGTCACGAGGACGCACAATTGTTGTTAAAACAGACACATTCTAGATCAGAGTCTGCAGGACAAGAGGCTGCAGTAAGAATCTCATGCAGTGTAGGGATACGAAAGGGCAACCGGTTAACCGGTTCCCTGGTAAACATCTCCTTTAAGGGATGATACTTACCAGATAATTGTTAACCTATACTTGGGAGTGTGGGTGGGGAATACTTCAGCCCAAACAGAGCAGCCCCACCCATGTTGGGAGTGGGTGGGGGGTGGGGGAGCTGCTTCAGTCCAGCTGGGGTGGAGAGCCCCCTCCCCAGCCTGTCCCTTCTTTAATCGGTTAAACCTTACACTTAACCGGTTAACCAATTAAACGAAATTTTACATTCTTAATACGTGATGGAATTTGATTATTACGTCTCAAGAAGCTCTGAAGATGCTAATGAGATAGGGTATTCTGTTTCCTGTCCTTTTTGTGTGCGTAGGTACCCATATCCGGCCTCCAGGGAAGCCTCTGTCTCTGTTGGCAGTTCATAACTGGTGATAGGTGCTCCTCTGCCGATCAGGTGCGGGAAGGTCCCAAAGAAACCTGATGCTTTATTCAGGCTGGTTGTTGTCACTTCCCGGAAGACTGGCACTCCAAAGATCGATCTTCCGGTGTTCGATTTAGCAGGTCTTATAACTGCCTCCATCAACCCAGGCAGTTGCAAGAACTAAAGGAAGTCTATGGAAGAGCTTCTTCCATTGAGTTCCCACTATGGGGCCACCCCAGAAAAATCGATGCAAGCAGGGGTGGCCCGTCAATACAGATGACCTAGGCGGTCTTCTAGGGCGCCAAGATAAACGGCCGTTGAGGGCTTTGGAGGCAGGGGCACCGATCGTGCACCAATCACGCGTTTTGCCTAGGGTGCCAGTTGCCGGCAGCTCATCTAGGGCCGCTCCTGGATGCAAGGTATGTTGATTCCAGCTCAGCAGTTCTCATAACTGGAGTCGTGTATCTTGTAGACCTGGTCTTAGTCACTAGTGAAGTAAAAGCAGTAGTCAGAGTTTTGTTTGATTTTGGTTCAACTGTCGCTACGTGTCATTTTCTCGTCCGACCCAATTTATCTAGTTTTGTCCACGTCCATTTTTAGTTTAAAAGTTTTAGCACCATGTTGAATGACTGTGTTGCACACAAGTTTCTAGACCGAGTTTATACTTGGCTCTCTGATACTGATTCTTTAAATACAGGTGTTTAATTCTGTCAAAAAGGCTTAACTACTAGTTACTCTTCATTGGGATAAACAGCCTGTGGCTGTTTTTAGTATCCCAAATAATAAAGTGACTACCTTTGAGGTTAATCCCCAGAGCTTTTTGATCTTTAGGCTCCGTTTTATAACACTACTCCATTCAATGCTTTGGATTTTAGAATGTCCTATTTAATTAAGAGGTTATTTAAGGGTGGGAAAATTGTTTCACTTACTTGATTTACCATTTTTTCATCTGGTGTCTCTCATTTGTACAGTCTTATAGATGGTTATTGATTCTTCTCGGATTACTTCAGTAAACTCTTCTTTATTTAAAGTGCAGGGTTTTATTTTCCAACATCCTTTCGTATGGGCAGAGAAGACTCCTCGGTCACTGTCTCTGGGGTTACTCCCGGAGCACAGCCTCAGAGCGTTAATCTGCGTTTTCCAGCGTTATTCTTCGATGTCTGTGGCCAGCTTCCTTAACTCTTGTTGTGCCTCCCTTCCTGAGTGTCTGCCTGCTTCCAGGGCCCGGCTAGTCTGCTCATTTCTTCAGCCTCCAGCCAGCCTCAGGCCCCAGGGGTGTTCTCTCCCCATCTCCAAGTGTCTCAAGGCTTTTGGAGGGTCTGGACTTTCCTGATGCCTTTCACACATTCTCCACTCACCCCACACAACGGGCCGAGCACCCCACACAGGACGACAGAGTTAACCCGCCCGGGCGCTCATGAATGGATCTCAAAGTCACTGTGTTGTTTCAGGCCAATTCCACAAGCCAAATACACAGGGAAGCCTTGGAACTTAACTTCATTTACAGGTGTGGGACCCATCACAAAGGTATGAACAAAGACATCACCTGGTTAGCCCACGGCCTTCCACATCCCAAGCAGAGGGCACATAAGAACAATTTGCACCTTCTCTATCAGCTTCATGTAACATGAACACTCTAATTCACCGTATTTTCCCTTCCTTTTCCCCCACCCCCCCGCCTCGATTCCCTATTTATTATGGAACTGGACTTCTAATACTCCAGTCTTGTGAGGAAGTGGGTTGTGCCCACTGAAGCACCTGATACCATCTTCGTGTTTTGTGAGTCTCTAAGGTGCTGCTGGATGATTCGTTGTTTTTGAAGTTTCTCCAGTTACAGGCCAACTCGGCTCCCCCTTGGAAGCTTTTAAGTTACTAAAAGACACAACTTAGTTTGCAAGATGCACACTCTCTGCCCATGAGACTCATGGGAAACAGGGTGAAACAGAAGCACACACAACTTAGATGTAAATCTGTGCACATCAAATCATTATGCAGCATACTTGTGTCTTACAACCAACACTACAACACACATTCTGGCTACATCAGCTTGGCAGCTCCTAGTCTGGGCTTTTGCTGCACCATTTATGAATGTGCAGAAATTGCGTCAGTCCTGGCACCTCTTCCATTGCAAATTGAGCATGGAGCTCACCCAGTGACCATGCAGCATTGCTTCAGAGACAGGGCAGCATGTCCTCCCACCCAACGGGGAAACGGGGAGCAGTGTCTACACCTGCACCCCCTGGTGAGCCCAGCGTAACAGCTCAAGAAAGGAAACACCCAACCAGTGCTTCCAGCGAGCTGTGTCAGAAGCCAGACCCAGCATTTCAGGGCAGACCAGGCCTCGGCCGCGCTGCCGTTCAAGTGGGGAGTGACAGACAGGAAACAGTGGTTACAGTTAGTATTTACAATAAAGCTACAAATCATCTTTGCAAATGGCAACACAATAGTTTACACAATCCCTCCCCTCACCAGTCTGTGTGAAGAGGAAAATACAACGTGAGCGCTCAGACACCAGCTGTCGACTTACACTCTGGAGCCGTAACCTGGTGTCTATGAATGAGCAGCTGCCGTCCGTGTGTCTGTTCTAAACGGCTCTGCGGGGCAGTGAAACGTTCACCAGACGGGTTCCTACAGTCCAGAGGAGGAAGAAAGGGACGAGTCTCCCAGTGAACGTGTCAGTGAGAGAGGAGATCAGAGCCATGGTCTCAGCATTGTAAAATCTCACCTCTCCCCTTTTATAGTCCAGATAAACGCCGACCTTCCTGGGTAGCTCAGGTACGTTAAAGGAGACAAGAGCCCAAATCCCAAAGTCAGGTTTGGGTTGGATCCTTCCCTTCCTCTGCACAGAGTCTCTGGCGACCCCAATCGCCCAGCCTCCCCTCGGTCCCACCTCCACCTCCCAGTAACGTCTCCCCGAGGTGAACCCCTCTGACCCGAGCTCTGGCCCGGGGACAACGAGAGACGGGTTCCTACAGTCCAGAGGAGGAAGAAAGGGACGAGTCTCCCAGTGAACGTGTCAGTGAGAGAGGAGATCAGAGCCATGGTCTCAGCATTGTAAAATCTCACCTCTCCCCTTTTATAGTCCAGATAAACGCCGACCTTCCTGGGTAGCTCAGGTACGTTAAAGGAGACAAGAGCCCAAATCCCAAAGTCAGGTTTGGGTTGGATCCTTCCCTTCCTCTGCACAGAGTCTCTGGCGACCCCAATCGCCCAGCCTCCCCTCGGTCCCACCTCCACCTCCCAGTAACGTCTCCCCGAGGTGAACCCCTCTGACCCGAGCACACAAACAGAAGCGTTAAATCTCTCCGGGTTGTTGGGCAGATCCTGCCATGGGTCTCCACGTTCCGCACTTTTCCGATCCTCAGACAGGACAAGCCGGGGATGGGCCGTGGCTGGGTCCAGAGTCACCTCCACTGGGGAGAGAGAGAGAGAGAGAGAGAGAGAGAGCCAGTTTTACAGTCAGGGTGACCAGCTGGCCGGATGCTGCAGGGACCGTGCTGGTATTTGGGGCTTTGTCTTGTAGGCACCTCTT